ATGAATGCATATACGTGGTTCACGTCACCTTCAAGAAAAATACATATACATGGTTCACGTCACCTTCAAGATAAAAACCATATGGGCTGTACTAATCGCCTCTATGGAGATAGCTCTACGCGCTATGAATGCATATACATGGTTCACGTCACCTTCAAGAAAACATGGCATGGCCTCTATAGAGCCAGCTCCATGGAGGTGAGTAGTACAGCCATGCGGCAGATTTTTTCCAGCTCCATGGAGCTAGCTCTACGCACCACTATGAATGCATATGCGTGGTTCACGTCACCTTCAAGAATAATACATATACATGTCACCTTCAAGAAAAAAAAACAGCTCTATGAATTTCCTCAGAAGTAAATGGCTGTACTAATCGCCTCCATGGAGCTAGCTCTACGCACTATGAATGGATATGCCTGGTTCACACCACTTTCAAGAAAAATGCATATACATGGTTCACGTCACTTCAAGAAAACAAACCAGCGCTATGAATGTCTTGAGAAATAAACAGCCCCGTGCACAAAGAACACACATGGTTCACGTCACCTACAATGAAGAAATCACGCTCTAGAATATATCGAGTTTAAACTTGTTACGGCCCCACGCACTGAGAACGATACATGTACACACAGTGTTGTTCTTCTCGAGGCTGTTTTGCCCGCAGAGCTAGCTCCACGCACTTTGAACGCATATACATGTTTCACGTCACCTTCAAGATAAATACATAAACGTGGTTCACGTTGCCTTCAAGAAAAAATACCACGCTCCAGAAAACGGTTAGATCGGTTTATTGTTATTTGTAAATCTTGGATGATCGCGTTTGGTAGTGTTCTATACGGCCCCACGCACTGAGAACGATACATGTACACACAGTCAGAGGCTGTTTTGCCCACAGAGCTAGCTCCACGCACTATGAATGCATATACATGTTTCACGTCACCTTCAAGATAAATACATAAACGTGCTTCCCGTTGCCTTCAAAAAATACCACGCTCCAGAAAATGGTTAGATCGGTGTATTGTTATTTGTAAATCTTGGATAATCGTTTTTGATGGTGTTCTATGCGGCCCCACACACTGAGAACGATACATGTACACACAGTGCCGGAACACCGGTCTTGTCGAGGCTGTTTTGCTAGCTCCACGCACTTTGAATGCATATACATGTTTCACGTCAACTTCAAGATGGAATGGCGGGCCCACATCACACATTGGTGAAATGTTGCAAAATTTTTGTTGTTGCGGAACCGCCGAAATCGTAAAATGTAAAAATGTCATCCACATGCTTGTGTGGGCAGTTCACATGTAGACTTCATGTTTTACTTCAGCAGAGGGTGCTTTTTTATGTTATGCTGGACCATTTTGTAGGAATGGAAAAATGTTTTCTGGGAAATTGTTCTTTGATCTTTTCCGATACCCATCCGGCATGTAGCTGCATCGTGTTCTTCGCGTTGTCAATATCAGAAACCGCGTCACCATGTGCGTGTGGAATACGGTGAATAAAGGATACAAAAGAGATGTTTTAACAGATTATTTTATGACAGGAAGGTCGTAAACAACTCTAATTGTGTCCGTCTAGACAAAGGTTTTACACTTATGTGTCCGTTTGTACTGAAAAAAATGAATACAGAATAACGCTGTGAACAGTGGAAATTCCCCCCTTTTTTCGATATCCTGTTTAGATATAAGAAACGAACACTGCAAGCTGAGACACGAAAGCAGTGAAGGAATTAGCACTTCCGTGCCAATCGACCCTAAGCAGTTGACAAATGTCATTAGGTGACGTATTGCTTTCGTTGTCGGGATTTAGCCAAAACAATGAAGTTAAACCTCCTCGGCCAAAGGGATAACCTCCTTGATTTAGCAGAGCTCAAATCCCGCCTTTACACTTAAATGAATTCCCTCTAAAGACAAACACTGAAAATAGCCTGTTATTGATTAGTGTCGCTTGTCCCCTTTGTTTTTGGGCCCGAGGACCGTTCATTATCTGTCGCTTGTCCCCTTTGTTTGTGGGCCCGGGGACCGTTCATTATTTGTCAACTAAAGAAGGCGTAATGGAAACCAACGCCGTGGATACTGAAAATTCTATATTTCACAATGTCAATGGCCTCAACAGGGCCTTTTCCTTTCGATATCATGTTTTCTTATTGTATTATCGTATTGTCAGTTCTAAAATGAACACCACCATTGTTCGCAAGCTGAGCCACGATAGATTGCAGAAAATCGCATCTCTGTACCAATCGTTGACATAGGTCATTAGGTGACATCGATATCGTGGTCAGGATGAGGTCCCGACAACTTTTAAACTGGAGAGCTCAAATAAACGCAGTATGAATTCCAACACATGGTTTGCGTCACGAAATTTAGTATAGTGTATATAGTCAATCAATACACAAGGACAGCCTTGCCGTAACATAACTAGTATCAAACACGATCATCCAAGATTTATAAATACCAATACTAGTAAACCGATGCAAACAATTTTCTGTACCATTTTCTGTAGCGTGGTATTTTCTGAAGGCAACGGGAAGCACGTTTATGTATTTATCTTGAAGGTGACGTGAAACATGTATATGCATTCAAAGTGCGTGGAGCTAGCAAAACAGCCTCGACAAGGACAAGACCGGCACTGTGTGTACATGTATCGTTCTCAGTGTGTGGGGCCGCATAGAACACCATCAAACACGATTATCCAAGATTTGCAAATGACAATACACCGATCTAACCGTTTTCTGGAGCGTGGTATTTTTTGAAGGCAACGGGAAGCACGTTTATGTATTTATCTTGAAGTTGACGTGAAACATGTATATGCATTCAAAGTGCGTGGAGCTAGCAAAACAGCCTCGACAAGACCGGCACTGTGTGTGCATGTATCGTTCTCAGTGTGTGGGGCCGCATAGAACACCACCAAACACGATTATCCAAGATTTACAAATAAGAATACACCGATCTAACCATTTTCTGGAGCGTGGTATTTTTTGAAGGCAACGCGAAGCACGTTTATGTATTTATCTTGAAGGTGACGTGAAACATGTATATGCATTCATAGTGCGTGGAGCTAGCTCTGTGGGCAAAACAGCCTCTGAGAAGACCGGCACTGTGTGTACATGTATCGTTCTCAGTGCGTGGGGCCGTATCAAGTTTAAACACGATATATTCTAGAGCATGATTTCTTCATTGTAGGTGACGTGAACCATGTGTGTTCTTTGTGCACGGGGCTGTTTATTTCTCAAGACATTTATAGCGCTGGTTTGTTTTCTTGAAGTGACGTGAACCATGTATATGCATTTTTCTTGAAGGTGACGTGAACCAGGCATATGCATTCATAGTGCGTAGAGCTAGCTCCATGGAGCTGGAAAAAATCTGCCTCATTGCTCAGGGCTGAAGTACTTACCTCCATGGAGCTAGCTCCATGGAGCTAGCTCCATGGAGGTGAGTAGTACAGCCCCTATTGTAAATGCATGCATACTATGACACACACATACATGTATGTCCACAGACAGGCAAGTCAAAATCAATACCTTGAGAGTGACATAAGTGATCATGAACAGGATAAAGACCAGGCCTTCTGACTATTTTGAATGTACAGTGTGTATATCTATTTTTTATAATACCATAATTTTTTATCCGTAACAGGGAACTATGCTGTTTAGAACAAATGACTCAGCCTACTGGTATCAGCCCTGATTGAAATTACTCTCACTCACTCACTCACTCACTCACTCACTCACTCACTCACTCACTCACTCACTCACTCACTCACTCACTCACTCACGCTCACTCACTCACTCACTCACTCACGCTCACTCACTCACTCACTCACTCACTACTCACTCACTCTGACTCACTCTTGCTTACTCTTGCTCACTCATTCACTCACTCACACTCAGTTTCTCACTCAATCACTCACTCTCACTCACTCACTCTCGCTCACTCACTCACACTGACTCTTGCTCACTCATTCACTCACTCTCACTCACTCACTCTCACTCACTCACTCACTCATGCTCGCTCACTCACTCATGCTCACTCACTCACTCACTCACTCACTCACTCACGCTCACTCACTCACTCACTCACTCACTCACTCACTCACTCACTCACTCACTCACTCACTCACTCACTCACTCACTCACTCACTCACTCACTCAGGTCCACAAGCTCCTATGAGTATGAGTGTGGCACCGCGTCAAACAGTCCTCCTTGTACTCCGTAAGATTACATGTAATTAATGCAATCAGTTTTCTTACATTTCCTGAAAGCATTAATTTCATGTTATCTTCTTTGAACAGACCTGCTAGATATCCAGGCTGGGGCATCTTTTTGTTCAGTTTTCAATATGGGGAACATTATGACTTGGTTAATACCTCTTGTTTGTTGCCTTTAGGCATAAAGACTTTCTTCTGTTATCCTATCTGAAACCCATATTGTCTGTGTTTTTGTCACTGTGCAGTTAACTGTCAGCCTACTAAGGTGGCCTTTTGGCACCAAATTTGTATTGGTTACCAGGCTAAGGCAGCAGGGAAAAGGGTCATTACTAAATCACTGGATTGCAAGACTCAGGCTATAACAAACTGAAGACTTTTGTACTGTATATTCTCATGAGGTCTAGATATTCTACAAAGCAGACAGTTAGTGTTTATTATTTTTGCAATTATGTTTTTTATTTGTTGTTTTGAGCTTGCAATGTCAGCTCTGAAGACATTGATATGTGAAAATTTCATATTTGGAGATGGAGATTCTTTCAATTTCGGGAGAATATTCTACCTAATAGTAAAATTTGCCAAATCTTCTTACTTCACAGTTATGCCATGTATGTCTTGGTCTTACACAGAGACATGAGAAATGCAACTAAAAGATTTCCAAATTGATATCGCTACAAAATTACTACAACTGTTACTCTAGAAAATACTTCACAGATGGAAACTAGTGTAGGATTCCAGAGATTTGAACCAGCCTTGATGACATTTTTCTATTTTTGTATTTTTTTTTAATTTCTAGGATACCAGGTTCAACTCGGGTATCGACCTTCAAACAGGCTACAAAACCCTCAGTATCCTGTCCATGCCGCTGAGAGACAAGGATGGAGAGGTGTGTTTGTTTCTTTATTTCTTTGCACAACTAAAGCAAGGCAATAACATAACATGATAATAAAAAATGTGCAGGCTGAAGGAGAAAACCTAAGGCAGCTTATGCTATTTAAGCCCTCCTCTTTAATCTTTGACATTTCGAACACAAAATACCCAATCTCGCACTCTCACCATGCAAGTAATATTTTTTGTGGGAACATTTTTCCAGGCATGCAAGTTATTATCATTTTTTTGCACACAAAGCAAACTTTTAAAAAATTTTTCCGGCAACCCAACTTCAGGCGTCTGAAATTTAACTAATTAACTGCAGGGCTTGAAATTCATTTTTGGGAAGAGGTGCACTGGTGCACCCAACCTAAAAAATTAGGTGCACAAAAATTTTTTTGGGTGCACCATATAAAACAAAACTTGATTATTGATCTTACTGCTACTCTTCTAAGCTTGAATCTGAAATGGGAGCTTACTTCAAAATCTTACGCAAGTACTACAACAAAGATTTTGTTATTTTTCTGACCCTTAGATGCCAAGAATAATCCTGTATACTATCATACATTTAATATGTACAAAAATACCTACAAAAATATTTGGATGCACTGGTGCAACCACATAAAATGATTGGGTGCACAGCTCCAAATTTGGGTGCAGTAAAGTGCACATGCACCCAGTATTTCGAGCCCTGAACTGTCTCAGCCAGCGTGTACCTTTACAGTCTGTGATACCTTAAACAGGTAGCCTGGCTTATGGCTTGCCAGCCAAAAAAAAACAGCCAACTTGGTGATGGCAACCTGAAATATTGATGGGCAACTTACATTTTGGCTTAGTGGGCAACCTGAGAAAAAAACTGTTTATTTTATTATATCTGTATCTTTAACAGAGACCACCATCTCAGCATATTGACCTTCAGCCATATTGACATGTAAGCTTAAGCTTTTTGGCACCAAATTTATGATTTTTGAGTCAGGCAGCATGTAAAAGTTGGATTAATGAAAAAAAAATACTATCACTTCAATCTGTATCTTTTATGTGTTTCAGGTTATAGGAGTTGCACAGGTGGTCAACAAGTGTGGAGGTTATGGACAGAAAACTGAGGCTTTTAACGAGCATGATGAAAAGGTATTTATTGATATAATAATTACTGTTAGGCCACACCAATTTGATTTGTTCTTTCTCGCATTCGCCCTGTCCATTCTTTTCTTTTCAAAATTTTTTTTTTCTAAATTAACTGCAAAGTACTCAATGAAAGACATACATTGTATTTTGGCCCCAACGGTTGAAGAAAGTCCTTTTCTTCCTAGTTGTTAAAGTTCTTCAATGTAACAGACGAGTGCAATTTTGTTTCATTAAAAGTTCAAAATTATAAACCAGCCTGGTATTTCACTTCATGGCTCATATTGTTACATTGTACATTTCTGACTATCATGGGGTGCCTTGGCCTGTTTTTTTTTTTTTCGCCCGTCGCTCCATATTTTTCCTGAAATAATCCGAAAAACAACAAATTAAATTGGTGTGGCCTTAAGTAAAAAAAAAGGGTGCCATTCAGTGAAAAGCCTAACGCAGTGTTTCATTCCCATGGTATTTCATGTCCATTTCAGGATATGTATGAGATGTGGACCTTTGGCCTCACTCTAAATGGCTTTGTGGGTTTACGTGTGGTAATTCACGGCAGGGATTTATATATTTATGATCAGAGTCCATCCTGAGCAACACGGGGTCATGTGAGGATAGCTGTGCATTGTTAGCAGTCTGCCTGGAAAAGAGACTCAATATATAATATATATCTCTCTCAGACAGACAAAATTGGGCTTTAACAATGTAGGTTAACTCAATACTGCATCAGAATCTATGGAGTCACTTGAGGAGGTTTGTATGCACAATATAGTAAGATGACAATGTTTCATAAGTTATTATACATAATATTATATAACAGTCAACAGTCATTGTGACTATTAAAACTAAAGGGTACTTCTGAATTGTCACATGTGATGTACTACATAAAATTGGAGCAGTAATTATGCATTTTGTACAAAGTCATGATCTAAAAACCACACCAATGTAGGAGACTGTTCAAGCCAGGACTGTCAGGTACATCTTGTATTTCTTACTATGCATCTACCCATACATGTACATTGTACATTGTACACTATACATTTAATTATATTGTCTCCTCTCTTCATATTTATCTGCCATCCACGTACCGGCATGGCAACAGACATCTTTGTCCATTTTCAGCACGTTGACGTCATAGACAACAAAATTTCTTGTTTGTTTTTTTCCAAAATCAGGCAAAAATTAATGCGCGTGCTGATGTCATCTATAAATTACTTGCTGTGGCCTAATGACATAATACTTAACTGAGCTGACACTGAGTGCAACTTAGACTTAAAGGTAAAACTCTTATATCACGTTGTAGCAAATAGTCACTAAACTGAAACACATAAAACAGTTAACCTTAACTTAAAGGACAAATACAGTGATTTCAGTTTTGGTGCCATTTAACCCAAAATCCTATTTGCAAAAGGTGATTCTTTGGTTTCTACCAGTCCCGCACACATATAGGGGTCATATTTGACTGTCAGTGATATTTGACCCAAATCCATGTTCACGTTTGATGACTGCCTTAATTCCACCAGAAACCTGCAGTGACATAATCGGTCCTCTTGATCTACATGACATTTGTAATTAACTAGCCATGAAACCACTACTCTGTTAACATTAGTACATAAAAGAACATCTCAATGAAAAGAAAGGGATAAAGAGAGGCCAGAGGACGAATAATCACTTGAGAGAGAAGTCAGTAGGCTGTTGTCAGCATGTCAGTCCTTCTACAATCACAACATTCATCATATCTTATACAATGTCATATATATACCGGTATGTTACAGGGGAGACTGGAATCAGGGCAATCTGGAATTCTCCTTGGGGAAACTGGAATTCTAGTTTACCTAGAGGGGAGACTGGAATTCTGATCTCTCCTTGGACAATTCCAGATTCTCCTAGGGGAGACTGGAATTTCAATCTCCCATGGGGGAAATTCAATGTCACCAGCCTACAGTCAGTTCATAGAGTACCACAGCCAGAAATGAACATCTCCTGCACAAGCTTGTAATGCTGGAAGGAAATTCTCTAACAGATAACACTTAAAACCCATTTGGGCTGCTGCCAGGTCCATTTTGAAACTTGTTGCCTGCCCAAGCCAGCTATAGTGAAAGACATTCCTGCAAAAGGTTTTATGATCGCAATCAGGGCGCTTGTATTGATGACCTGAGCTGATTTTGCTGGTGACAGACTGAGGCAATCGCCAGTCCCACTTTCAGTAAGCTGTGTGGATGACAGAAAGTACGCCGTAGGAAGGATATAAGCCCTCCCCAGACAGCCTGGAGTGCACAAATCCATTTGTACCAATTAGAGTGAGGTGCCAGAATTGGAAGTCTTTCCCTGTACAGTTGTGGAGGTGGGATTACACTGATCTCTTGATGGTTCTGTGCTTTAAAGTTGGAGCTATCCAAAGTGAACAGTAATTGCAGAGAGTTGACATCGATGTCTGTGTCAAGGTTTGACAGGGCGTTGGCCTTTGGGAGGTTGCTGATGGGCACTAAGGCCACACCAATTTAATTTTATGGATGACATCCTCTGAAGACCCCCAAACTAGTGCGCGCAGGCGAATAAAAAAAAAATTCCGGCCAAAAATAAAAATGCTAATAAACAACAGGAATACAAAGCTGGTATTGTGAATTTGCGGCAGTACTTAGCAACGTATAAGACATGCTGGCTTTTTGCAGCATTTATGAATCGGTACTGTACTTAATATATGTACTGAGTTCTTGAGTCCCGGAGCTTCGAATTCGGTAGCCTGGGGGCTCGGCTCCATTTTGTCGCTGTTTTTTTTTCTTGAGGGCGACAGGCGAAAATCAATGCGCGCGCGGATGTCATCCATAAAATTAAGTCAGTGTGGCCTAACAGAGAAATCTGACAAAGAACAAAACACTGTTTGGTAAAAATGTATGTTACCATACCCTTTGTGTTCAAGTATTTGTTCAACCTTCCTTAGATTTCATAATTTTTTTGCCCAACTTGTTTTGCATGCTTGCTGCAGTTTTGGGGTGCCTGGATGTGGCCTTCTAAATGTAGCTAGAGGCATCTGTATGTGCACTTCCTACTCTAACAATCTCCTACTACACACTCTCATCAAGACAAGCAATAATAACAGACCTGCTTTGTAACTAAGCATTTCAGCGTAGGGCTGCGGACCGGTACACTGTACCGGTCCAATACCGTAAAAATCGTTTCGGTACAGGTCCAAAATACCTGATCATGAAGTAACGAGTATATACCGAAATAGCTAGTTTACACCATGTATATGACTAAAGATAGGTAAATCCTACCACAAAGACGAAAAATTAGCACTGGAAAAGACGTAAACACCGTCGATTGATTTGAGATCCTCAGTCTCACGAGACATCGCGAGAGTGTGGCTGATCCAGGGTTGTGATTGGTCAACAAACTCAAATCAGGTCAGAGGTCAGTCATTTTCCCTTCCCTCCAACACTTTATTATTGTTTCTGTGTCATGATTGAAAAAGTGAAGAACACGTGTTAATTTGTCAAATTGTTCAGGTACAGGTACAGGTCCGGACCTGTACCTAAACCTCTGTACCAGTACCTGTACCTGTACCTGATGTTACGTTTAGGTACGCAGCCCTATTTCAGCGTATCAACCACCCTGTGCCTGGGAATTGTAAGGGATTGCAAGTATTACGTGACTGAAATGCGGGAAGAACTGACGGAATGCAGATTCGGTTTATTTCTGTACGTCCATGGCAATTTAATTTCTTGGTTCGAGGATTTCCTTGCTTCATTTTTTGGATTGCAACAACAGCAACAAAAAATTACATGACATTGTGCTATTTTGGTTCTAAACTCCAAGTGTTGTTCTGGATGGCTTAGTTGTGTGTTTGTGTGTCTGTTTGCCCAAGTATAGCGACAGTTGTCCAGAGGGTAGGGGGTGATTTTAACAGCTTGACAGTTGATGGGAGGTCAGGCCTGAAGGAAATCCAGCATTTGCCATGTAGGAGTACAAAATACTTGGAGAAATTCACAGTAAATTACATCAATTCATACAAACGGTTAATGATTTTGTTTTGACGCTTGGTTGTTCTGTAACTTTATGAATTGTTTAATGTGTTGGTTTCATTGTTTTCATTGTATAACTTGTTGTCACTAGCCTGGGTGCCCGGGTAGCCGTTACAAATCAGATGGCACCCAGGCTAGTTGTCACAGGGTGTTTTTAAATAGCATTGAGGTCTCTACCCTGTTTAAATAAAACAGAAATTAAATGAATAAATAAATTTCCTTCACAGTTCCAAAACATTCCCAAAACCATTTCTCAGGGATCTATGAAATTAATGTCTTATAAATCTGTGATTTCTTGTTTTTCAGATATTTGAGTCGTACATGGCATTCTGTGGTGTGAGGTTACACAATGCTTCTCTGTATGAACAATCACAGCTTGAAGTCAGGAGAAATCAGGTAAGTTGTTTCCTCTATGTCTGCAACATAATACTTTTAGCAATCAACTTTTATAGGTACTGTAGAAGGAAGTCGAAAGGAAGTTTTCACAGAGGTCCCAACAAAAACTTTGAAAGCTAGAAAGGCCAACATTTTCTTGGGAGCAAATACAACATTTCAGTCCATCTCCTTCCCCATAAGAAGCAATAGCGCAATAGCTCAATTGGTAGAGTGCAGGGCTCGAAATACCCGGTGGCGCACTGGCGCGGCGCCACCTGATTTTGCTTGGCGCGACTTATTCCTAAACTCAGGTGGCGCAGCGCGCCACCTATAATTTGGCCTAGGAAAAAAAATGTTGTGCTTCCGGTTACCCGACCGACCCTATGAAAAACCGACCAAAAATTTCGAGCGGCTAGCGGTCGGTTTTCAAAATTGGGGGTTTTATCCCCGATAAATGTGCTCGTCATTACAATTTTCTTCGGTCGGGCGGCGTGGATCGAGCGCTAATTGCACGGGTCGGGCCGCTATTCATAATTTCCATTGTTGGCACAATCCTGTGAATTGACGATGAATTGTCGATCTCGCCATGACGCCGCAAAGAAAACGTTGTCATTGGTAGAAAATCTGACACCCCGCTGGCGTTTCACAACAAAATTTTCTGTAAACAACTCCGACTGTCTTTGTTTACATCGCGAAATCTCACCGATACAAAGTAAAACTCCCGCCGGCCGGCCGCGCCCGAGCGCATTTAATGGTTGCGGCATGGCGCTAAGGTTTCGGCAGCTCGACGGAAAAATAATCCATCCCCAGAAGAAATGTTACACATGAAAATAACAACTACAACTTGTTTTACTCGTTATATGAGTTTTTGAGGCCGTAAAATGTTTAAAACGGTTGAAATTTGCTCGAAAAAAACGGCTCGAAAATTGACGGCGAGAAAGACAACATGGCCGACCTGTTTTCACATAACAATGGTCAAAGGTCAAGATAGCATCCAAATGTATAGATACATGTAATAAGTACATATTACAGTGCTAAAACGATACTTTAAACGCATGAAAAATATTTTTTCGGCTACAACTGAAATAAAAATTCACTTATATTTTAGTAAGGTTAATTTTCAAACATTACTGGGAAATTTTCCGAATTTATTGGTTTCTTGTGTAATATTGTTGTTTCTATGTATGTGCGGTTGGATGCTGTCATTGTAAAGACCCTTTACATATTGGGAGAATCAGATGAGATATTAGAGATTTATCACGCTTTAGTACCGTGACCCGAGTGTCTCTCAAAAATCGTTTTTGAGTGGAGTTTATAAACATGATCACATTTTTATTTGTTCAGCTGTGTCAATATGTGATTTGTTTGAGAAATAGGATTTGGTTTAGTTTTTAATATATTAATGTCAGTTAACATCTTTGGAATAAATTGCTCCAAGTTCCAGGTAGTAAATACATGTACATTTTGTATCATGTATTTTTCACTTGTTGAACTTGTGGAAGCACCGTTGGCCCCCGGTTAGGGGTCATCCGGGGAACCTACAGTCAAACCTGCCTATAGTGGTCACTCAAGGGACTGGCCAAATTCGACCACTATGGCCAGGTGACCACTATAGAGAAACAGCCGGTTAGTTGACC